AAAAAAAGGCCGCAAAATTGCACGGGGAAGAAAAGAAATGTGTTCAACGCGCCGTTTGCACCGGTGCCCCCTCTCTTATGAGCGGGGAAGGGGGGCGGGGGAAAGCGAAAAGAAGGAAAAACACACAGAGCCCGAAATCGCAGCAGAGACCCCGGCAGAACCCCTCTTCGGCCCACACCGTCGCAACCCCGGGCGTTCAAGGGGGCTTCTCGCTCTTTTTTCCTCCTTTGTGGTTTTTGAGGTGGCAGGGTGCCAAGCCCTTATTGGGCGGGCAGGAAGACACCTTCGTAATCGTTGTCTTCGAAGTAGCGTGTGGGTGCCGTTCCCGCCTCGTTGGGACACCGGCCGCCGCGTGCAAGGCGCCGCGCTTCACCATAAAAGAGAAACTGTTTCTGCTTCTCCTCATCTTCCTGTCTATTGTTTTCTTGGCGCTGAGCAGCCTCTGCCTCGGCACCCCCTTTCGCAAAGGCCTCCGCGCAACTCCTTTCCTCCGGGAACACCGGGAGCTGGTCTAAAAAACGCAGGGACGGCATGCGTGCAATGAGGGTTTTCCTGTATTGAGGCACTGACTCCAGAAAACGGTTTCCGTGCAACACGCAAGTCCGGAGTGTCTCTTTTTGAAAGAGATGCGGCAGAATACTACCAGGCTGAGCGATCGAGTTGTATGAGACATCAATGGTCATAAGGCGCTCCAGTGGCTCAAGACCCTTGAGGTTTTGAATGCGGTTTCGGGACGCAAGAAGTGTCTCTAGCCCTGGGGCATTTAAGAGACCCTCAAAGCCACCAATGCTATTGCAGGAAATGTCAAGTAGTTGCAATGCCGGCAACATTGGAAGGCTCAGGCAATCCTGAATAGCATTATTGCCAAGATACAAGGCACGCAGTTCATGAAGCGGGTGAAGGCCTTCAAGATTATCAATCGCATTGTTGTTGAGGTATAACACTGTACATCGATTGAAGGCATTTAGAGAGGAAATGCTGGTAAAGCCTATGTGGTGGAGGTAAAGTTTCTCATTCAGCTCTGGTGTGGAATAACCCTTGTGCATTTTACACTGCTGTATGATAGCCTCCTCGGTCATGGTGACGCCTTCTGTCGCCGCAGCGGCCATGATATTCTATTCAAAAGTGGCGAAGGGAACAGAGAAATAAATAAAAACAAAACAAACCGAAGCGTCACGCATGTTCCCAAACGCCCAATCTACACACACTATCAAGAAAAGGGCAGCAACGAAGTCTTTTTGGTGGGTCTTGGCACGCGCTCGCGAGAATCGTGCGGCAAACGCAAAACCAAAAAAAAAAAAAACACGACTATCTACGCTAGCAATCAACCCTTACAATGCCACTATAAATCGCCATTGCGGTGAGACACGTCCATGCCATAAGGAAAAGAGCAAAAGAAGCCCCATACTGGTACTTTATTTCACTGAAGGACGGATTTGAGCAAGCCTTGCTGTGGAATATTCCTGCCATCATGGACCACTCTATCATCAAAAATAGCCACGTCAAAGTTGCCGACCCAAAAAAGAAAACACGTATGCAATGCGTCCTAACTGTCAGCGTGCCAAGAAGAGAAGATAACAATAGGAGAACAGAGCCAGCCAGCGATATGATAGAAAATACCTGCATGGCGGTAAATGAGGTTCGGCGTTCTCCGCACCAACCAATGGGCGGCAGTTTCTGCGTGAGACAGCCGTCCATGGTGCACGACTCTCCATTCCACAGCGATAGACGATGTTGTATTCCCTCCATTGTCTTCACACTGTAGAGGTTTGTATCGGCAACCCCAGCAAGCACAAAGGTAAAGATGACAATACTCACCAAGAGGGCGACGATTGGATCTGGGCCCCCGCCCTGATTCTTGCTTTCGTACGATCGATAGAGCATGTTCTTCCTATAAGTTAACGCTTCTGCCCCGAGACGCTTATATACATCAGCGTGGGGGGGGTGAAGGGGTTGGGGAGAGATAGATAGATAGAAAGGACAATACATACACACACAAACGCATATATTCCTTTACGTATATGTGTATGGGTATATGGGCATAACCGGATGTAACAGAGGGCAGGGCAACAAGATGATGATTGCGGCATCGCACCTTCCATACGGCTCTCCCCGTTTGGGTTTCGCACACTTTTTCTTTCCTTTTCATCTTCCTGTCTTGTTCCCCTCGACTTAAACGGCCTCTTTTTTACAACATCAAATTGTGAAGGAAGAAAAAAAAAAANCATCACAACACCTCCTGATTGCCCAGCTGCGCCGAGATCGCCGCCCGGTGGGACAGGGCGCCTTTCATAGCCGAAGATAGGAGATCTGATACGGTACCAGGCTCGCACGCACCTTGGTGCGAAGAATAACAAATGTCTCCCGAGTTTAGCATCACGCAAACAACAGCCGTGGCCTGGGCATTCGACCCCTCCGCCCCGTCAGGGTCCGCCACCATGGCGCCGTCACGGAGCAGGGCGGAGCTGCACGCCGAGAACACATCGTACATATCAAAACCCCCACTTGCCAAGGCAGCGCTCATGCTTATTGCCACAGCATTCCACAAGCCCCCATCTTCCGCCAGAATCTCCACAACCACCTCCACCAACAGCTGTGGGATCTTCTCCAACACCACTACCTGCTCCGCCACGCCTTCCAGGGCGAGCGCCATGTCTTTTTCCGGCGTCACGATGGTCCGAAAAGTTGGCGCGTGGTGGCTCGCCGCAGTGGATCTTCGCACAGTGCAGGCGACACGCCCTCGGTTTCCGCGGTACTCATCCACAAGCTGCTGCGGGTGGTGAACCGCGCAGATGACACGTGTATTTCCCAGTTCTACACAGGCGCTACTGTGACACTGTCCCAGTATATTAAGAGCAATGTGAGGGTGGCGCACCTCGTCGGGCGATCGCCTCCCGCAACTTCGCTCCATCGCTGACATTCCCTTTTAAGAAAAAAAGCCCATAAGCATTTGATACAGCAAAAAAAAAAAGACACAAGGAGAATAAGAAGGAAAACAAAATGGATACACATACTCACCGAAGGAGAAAGTAGGCACAAAGCCACATTTAAAGAAAAAATCAAACAAACCTTTTTCCTTCCCCATCTTAACAGGACGAACGGAAAAACAACAGCAGCTGAGACACCAGGATAAACCGAAAGGAATGCACACACCACTGCGCATCCAGAGAGGCAGGGGACGAGGAATCACACCAAAGTAATCGGGGCACACTTCCCTCTTATCCTTCTTGTCTCTTTTTTTCTCTCCTTAATTTTCCCCCTCCCTTCACCTCATCCTCTAAGCGCCACTGGGCGCCGTATCAAACGCCAAAGTTGCCACACCCCCTAGCACGGGCTCGCCTCCCCCTCCTCCATGATCGTCGGTGCCGTCACTGGTATTGTCGTTGTCGTCGTCACCATCTTGCGGTGCACCAAACAGCTCAAGCACCTCCTCATCCGTCAGGGAGACAGCTAGCGCCGTGTCGAAATTCAGCAGGTCCACTGCGAACTCGCCAAGGTTGATGGGTGGGGGCGGTGCAGGTGCAAGCAAACTCCGTCCTGTGGATTCCCTCAGTAACCCAAACGCTGTTGTGGGGGTATCGTCTGGATGGAGAAAGCTGCGTAGCAGTTCATAGTAACCCCGCGTGCCGTCAATCTTGGCCCGTGTGTGCTTCAGCCTCCGAACAATCAGCGGAATATCCCCCTCCTGCATCATTTTGTGTTGCTCCCCTCGCTTACCCACCCCATCATAATTGTTATTGTTGTTGTTTTCCAAGCTGCCATCTTCCCCGCGTGGGCGCGCGAAAGGGTGAAAGTTCCCTGTGCGCTCCTTGCTGCAGTGGACGCACTCCATCCCTACACCGTACTTTGTAACGCATGACTCATGGTAGCCGTGACCGCAGGCGTATATACGCACTGTTGTCTCTGTCGCAGCCCCACGCGCATCTCCAAGGCCGCCGTTGCAGATATAGCACGAATCCGAGAGGGGCACCACGCCCGTGTTAAAACTTCGATGCAGGTCACAGCCAAGTGTCATGATGTCATTGTCCATGGAAAGCTTGCATAGATGATTCACCTCCAGTTCAAAGCTAAGAGAAGACATGATATCGACAATGACAGGTTTGAAAGGGCCAAAGCGCTCGCGCTCGTGATCCTCCACAATTTTACCAACAACCTGTGACAGATCCAGCACCTTGATCATGTGTGTTAGTAAATGGGAAACGTACTTGGTGTAAAGGGCGATCATATGCTCCAAAAATGCCACACCGCGAAACGAGAGAGGATTCGATAATAATGGAAATCGACTGCTGGACAATAGACCCTCAGATGTGAGGGCAGCCTGAATTTCATCGTCTTCAAAGCCGTCCACCGGGTCCGTGCCGGATTGCAGAATCGCGCTGTGTTGCCGCTGGCGGTCGCACAGAAGACGGCGTGAAATTGTGAAGAGTTCCAGTAGGCTAAACCAATTCCCACTCACTCGGGAGTCACCATTGTCCTTGTACTTGGTGCATAAATCAATGCCCACCCCCAATACCTGCTGAAGTGCCTCTTCACTTGCCCATAAGCCATGCGGATTCGTTGTCTGTTGTTGCAGTTGCTTGCCTTCCAACAACACTTCCTCTTCTCGCTTCCTCATCGGGGACAAGAAGGGCGACACAAGAGAGGGGCGCACACCCTTCTCGCACAGGGAGTTAACGTAGTTTACTACCTCTTGACGCAACGTATGCAGCTTCTCGGCGACAGCCCCAATAAGGATGCGCATGGCCTCGTCAATCATGAGTGTCTTTTCGAGTAGAAATACAGCGGCGTCCGCCACCTTGTACCGTTTCACCGCATGAAGCGCGAGATGCAGGTCGTATGTCACGACAGAGTCATGTGAATGTAGGTATGGGTAAACACGCCCCGGGTCGTGGGCGCAGAGGAGTTCAATGTACGTGTTTTGCAGCTTCACATCATTGGCTACTGCTGGGTCCCCTTTCGCCACCAACTCGTCCAGATATCGGAGGAATGTCGCACTGGAATTGCGAAGAATGCCCATGACATCCTCATGGTTACCTGGGAGGTAGTCAAAGACAAACTGCGCCAGCAATGTAGCGTCAACGTCAACTAAGAGGGAGATGCGATCCATCACGGCCTCCCGAAGACGCTGCGCCGCCTCAGCTTCGCCTGCATGCAGCGCACGGCTCATCTCTTCCCGAATAACGCGGAAGACGTCTTTGGCTAGGTCTGCATCGGCGCGGTTGTTCTCCTTCCCCAAGTAGCAGTCAATGGCCTCCGCGTACTCCAAGCGGGCGCAGTGCAGCGCTGCCAGGGCACGGGCCATGCGCTGCTGGCGCAACTCTTCCTCGGCGAACGCAAAGTCGACGCCCGTGGTGATAGAGCTGCGAAACAAAGCCACCACATCATTCTGCACATCGCGACGCTGCAAGTCATCCTCAGCGATTTGAAATTGATAAATAAAATGAGAACACACGTGCTCGCAGAACAGTTGCATGTGATTCAGAGCCAGCGCACCGCTGAGTACGAGACGGGTAACATCTGCAAAGAGTTCGTGCACAACGGCGTACGGCGGCCACCCTCGCCGCGCCAGCTCCCACGGCCGGATCGGGCTGCTGCAGGAGAGTTCCACTCCCACAAGGCGAACGAACAACTCATCGACGCAGCGCGCGCGCGACACTATGCCATCCCATGGCGAGAAGGGACCTTTCTCCTGTAGCGACAGCAGCGCTGCACAAAGAACACGCTGTGGGTCGATGCGAAGAAGCGCCGCAAAGTCATCTGTGACAGTTAGTAGGTGACTCCACAACTGCTCCTTCGCGGGACGTCGGTGGACGTCGCGTATTTCGACGTTTTCCAGCAAAGTTTCTCCACGCATGGTGCACTCGAAGAAGCGCAGTGCCACGTCATCCCCACCATTGTTATTGGTGGCGTGGTTGCGGCTCTTGTCGAGGGCGAAGCGAAACGCATCCACGTAGTGGTGCTGCCGGTACGACAGAATGGACACAGTCAGCTGTACTAAATTTTGCTTCTCCGCGATGTGCAGGAGGAGCTCATGGCTGCCGTCGAGCCGCATCAAAGCCCGCTCCGCCCGCAACACCCCGCGAAGGGCCACCACGTCCCCAGCCTCGGGCGGTGCCTCAGCCAACGCCTCGTCGGTGAGCAGATCAAAGAAGGGCTGGATGTACACCTCCGGAAGAGACGTCACGGCGCCTGAGAGGATGCACCCCTCGAGGCAGTACAGCGCAAGCGTGTCGCTGGAGGTGGCGCGGCGCAGGCAGGCCATTGCGGGACCAAAGAAGACATCCATCGCATCAACCTCTGCACAAAATTGAATAACGGATGTGACACTATTTGCGAGGGCCTCGTGCGAGATATGCGTCTCTACAGCATCCGATAGACAGACCGTGATGAGGCCCACCATATATGCTCGAATGCTGGCGCGGCGCTCAGCCGGATCACTGCTCAGGCCAACAACGGCGAGCGCTACCTCGAGTGCAAACGCCTTGGCAAGCTCCAGCGCCTCTGTGAAGCGCCGTTGCTGCACCAGTGCATCCAACCGTGCATTCCACGACACCAGTGTGCATGTAAATGCGCGGCGGCGGCCCAGAAGGATCACGTCATTGCCACAGTGTGCGAGGGCGGCACCATACCGCATACCACAACTTCGACTGGAAAAGAGCACTGGCTCTGTACCGTGCATTTCCCTCGTTTCCACGATAGCACCAGCGCTCCCGTCGAGCAGATGCAACGAGTCATTCTGATCAAGAAGAAGAAGACAGCTGCTACCGCCAATAGGCGCCATCGCGTGCAGTGGTCGCCCGAGGCGAACGCTCGCCAACTGCTGCAACTCGGTCAGCTTGCCAGAGGCCGCGATGCTAAACACCTCCACATCGGCGCCCCACGCCACACACATGAGGAGCGTCACACCACCAGGGCCCATTGGCAGTGAAGCAAAACGCAACAGCTCATGGGTTCGGGAAGACTTTGGAGGTCGCGTGCGCCGGCAGATTGGTGTAGCGATGGTCTGCAGACCACAATCCAACACGGAAATGAGTAGTGTATCGGCTGAAACGGCTGCCACCACGTAGAGTCCATCCCCCTCGAGGAATGCGACGTCGATATCATCAAATGGCGCTTCGGCAACAGATGCGGCAATGTTAGTCAGGCGGTACACCGCCTTTGACAAGATGCGGGTGAAGGAGAGCAGCTTGACGTTTCCAGTGCTGTTCAGCACGACGGCACGGAATGGGTCCATCTGGCAGTGACGTAGGCGTGTAATGGGTGTGCTGTACTCGTCCGCGACCTCGCGTAGCGCTGCAAGAGCGTCAGTGTCCCACAACACCAGGGCCCCGCGCTCGTGCCCCGACAGCACCACCAACGCGTCCGACGACATGGAGAGCGACACGACGGCGCCTCGCGCCTCCACCGTCGCTGTTGCAACGGAGCCACACATGCCACACATCTTTCGCTTCGCATTGAAGAGCAGCACGATACCGAGAGTAGTTCCGATACAGAGCGTCGGCCTTTTCGAGAGGGAAGAAGACGACAACACAGGGGACTTTGGAGGGGATTCGTCCGAGGCGGTGACGGGAGTGGCACGCGCGGCCACACAGGAAGGCCACCCCACAGACCCCCGAGCCTTCCGCATTTCCTCACGCATATCAATGTGCTCATGGAAATGCATGACGTGGCGCTCTTTGCCTCTTTCCTCGCGGAGTGATGATGCCGCGACATCTTCGGCATGCTGCAGCACCGCCTCCACGTTGTAGCCATCCTCCTCGTGCGCCAGGTCTCCACTTACGCTAGACTGCCGGTCCTGAAGGGCATTTAAAATGGCACTAAGAATGTGTTTCTCATCTTCCAGTTCATGTGTAGCGTGTCGGTCCTTGACGGGGCTGGAGGGCCGTCTAGTGTCCAGACTGGCAGCTGGTGCAGAGGTGGAACCCTCCCCACTCAGAGTCCGCCGCGCCCACTTCTCTTCATCTGTGCCCGCCTGAATTGGCGCATCGTTCTTGCCGTTTTTATGGTTCTTTCTATCTCCAGTAACGGCAGTTGTTGTTGTCGACATTGTTGTGGTATTGGTAATGGCTGCCTCTGCTGGTGCAGTTTTGTGGGGCCTCTGAGACGGAGTGCCAGCTTCCTGCCTCCGGCTCTTGGAGACAAACCGTACCGGGGGCTTCGCAAGGTTTGCAAGGGCTTCCACGACGAGATCCTCCTCTTCGTTCTCCCAGGCCCCCGCGGGCGCATCTGTCCGTGCGGCTACACCTTGCAGCGGTGGATGTTTTGCCCCACGCCCCTGTGAAAGATGCGTCTCGACGAGCTCCAGCTGCGGTAGCCCGTGCCCGGCCAGGACGGCCTGCAGCATCGCCTCACCACTGCCGTCGCTGTCATTGTCGCTGCACACACTTGAAGGCCGCGCCACCGCGGGCACAGGCGCGCCCACCACCTTGCCACTTGCACCTGATACGACAGACATACTCGCCACAGTCGGCTGCTGCTGCTGCTGCTGCAGCGGCACCGCGGAGGATGGCGTACGCTGTTGTGTGTCGTGATACCTAGTTTCGGGCTTTTCTCTTGTGGGTGTGGTTGTCGTTGTCACCCCTTCCAAAGCTTCGAGAATCAACATATCCAACTCATCATCGCTTCCAGAGGCAAGTCCTGCTGCTGTTTGTAGCGGTGTCGCACATGACGCCATCACTTGCGTGGCGACCAGCCTGTCAAACTCGTCATCGGAGTCCATTGACTCCACACCCACTGAGGCGCACTTGCTGCCTGCCACTGTGCAAGTCTTCTTCACAAGAGAGACAAGCGAAAAAAACAAACAAACGAAAACAAAAAAGGCACAAAAAAGAGACATCCAGATCATTGCACACACACGCACACAGATAGAGAGAGAGAGAGGCGCACATAAGCGGTACCAGTGGGGAATGCATAGTGGGGAAGTTCATTACCCACGGCCTGTTCATTCTTTGTTGTTGTTTTTTTCCAGTCTAAAACAAAGAAAAACACAGAGAGATAAAAAGGAAGAGGGCACCTGGACGTGCGTGTGATCACATCACATTTGTTTCCCCCCACCACAGACCGACCACCGCCTTTCTCCACCACCACCGTTCCTTCACACTGTGACCAAGGCCACCAGCGAGAGAACAACCACAAAAAAAGACACACACATACACAGAGACCTTTCTCCGCATATTGCTTCTTCTTCTTTTTCGCGTCGTACCCCTCTCTAGCTGCAACGTGTGGGGAAAGTGAAGTAAAAAAAAAAAGGTGGTTTGTGGCGATTCTTGACGTGCTCGTGGGGATTCATACAGACACACAGACACATACACACGCATATAACATACACACGCTTACGCAGAGTGACCCATGGATTGATTGTCTGAACAGACTGGGGAACACATGACATCGAATACATAGTACAAGTAGTGAGATACTGTGCGGAGAGCGGGCCCCTCCTCCCCCCCTACCAAGCAGAAGGGGTGTGGTGGGGTGGGGGGAGGGGCCACACAGTTATTCTTTTTACACTGCCCCCCTCAAAGACCCTCAAGGTGCGTCAATTCCCACTCTTGTTTCTCGCGGATTTGCTGCATTAAGTCTTCACGGTATTCACGACGACGATCCGCCGCGCGGAGGCGTTCCTCCTGCTTGATGAGCGCGAGAGACGCCGCGGCCTCTTCGTTGCGCTTGCGAATGGACTCCATCGGCTCGTCGTAGTTGTGTGTGCGTTGGAACTCCTTCTGTTTGGCGATGCTCTCCTCAAATTCCGCCTTGAACTGGTTGCGCTTCTGCTGCTGCTCCTGCTGCTCACGCTCAGCGATGGCGGCATTGTACTCCATCATCGCCCTCAGCTCCGCGTCCCCCCGCGCCTTGTCCTCCTTATGTCTCTGCATGACGGTGNCAGCGATGGCGGCATTGTACTCCATCATCGCCCTCAGCTCCGCGTCCCCCCGCGCCTTGTCCTCCTTATGTCTCTGCATGACGGTGCGGTGGTATTCCTCGTTTTCATTCTGCATAATGCGCTTGAGGTCCTTGGCACGACGCTCATCTGTCTCTGCCTTGCGCCGCTCGCTCTCCTGCACCGTACGGAGGAGGGAGAGCTCGTACTTCTCCCGCGCCTGCTCCTTCTCCCGCTTCTTCTCCAGCTCGAGCAGGTTGCTCTCCCGCATACGGTCCATGTACGCCTTGTTGGCCCGCGCCTCCTCGCGCTCACGCTCCTCGAGCTTGCGCGCCTGCTCCTTGCTATTCTCTACAAGCGCCGTCACGTACGCCTTTTCATCCGCGCGCCACTTGCGTATGTACTCCTCCCTGTCCTTCAGCTGCCGCTGCATGTCTGCCTTGTACGACGCGGTGCGCTCCGCCTTGAGCTGCGCCTCCTCTTTCTTGATGATCTGGTAGTAGTTGGGGTTCTTGAGCGTTGCCGCCTCCTTCATGCGCTTCGAGCGCGGCCCACCGCCGGGAAGTGGCCGCGTGTTGTCGGCGCTGTAGCCTGAGTGGCTCTTCCAGGTGTCGAGCATCTTGGAGCGGCGCTCCTGCCGCTCCCGCGCGAGGCGGAGCTCTTCCTCCTCAAGCTCCTTTCGGGTCGGCTCATACGCATTGACGCGGAGGCGGTTGCGCTCCACAAGGTAGTGGCGGCGCGTCATGGAGCGCGGGGCTTCCTCAACAGGTGGAAACGGCATATTTTCGCAATGTGGTACGTGTGTGAGAGGGTATACAGTTGTGTCTTCCTTGCTCACTCCGTTGCTCGGGCGATTCTTCTTCTCTCAGTCTTATCCCTGTTTTTGTTCTGTTTGGGGGTATTTGTTTTTGCCGCTGTGCGGGGTGTTGCAGAGCACGGCTCACGCTTCACACTCTGTTACGAGCAGCGATGAATGCCGTGAGAGAAAAGAAAAAAAAAAGGGTGGGGACGATATATATATATATATATAT